ATATATAAAAATATAATAAATAACAATAATCATAACAACAAAAATGATAACATGAAAATGATAACCATGGCATTAATAATAATGATGATGAAGATAATAATAATGTTAATAATAACTGCAACACCAGTGATGAATGCAATGATAATTAATAATCAATAATGATAATGATAATAATAATAATAATAATAAATAAATAATAACAATAACAATAATTAACATTACGATAATAACAATAACAATACTACTACTACTATAACTCATAATAATCATAATAATGACAATAATAATAACGATGATAATAGTAGTAATAATAATAAAAATGATAATTATAATAAACACATTAAGAACAATAAAAAATAAGAACTGCAACAACTGGAACATTGATGATAATGATGATGATGATAATAATAATAAAAGTAATAATAATAATAATAATAATAATAATAATAATAATAATAATGATAATAATATAATAATAAATGATGATTATAAAATAATAAAAATATATACCATAATGATGAACATAATGATAGTAATCATGATATTACTACTAAGAATATTTAACAGCTGGAGCAAGGATCTTGCCAACAATAAAAGACATGAAAATTGCAATAAAAAATAAAAATAATAATAATAAGTATATCGTTTAGCCTTATGGTAATGCAAACTCTAATCCTTACATAATAATACTGCGTTGATCGGATCATGTGATGTGGAAGGCATATCATTTTTCGATGTTAATCCGTTTTATTTATTTATTTATTTTTTTTTAATTTCACTGTTATGAGCTGTCCATGGGCTGTGTGAGGATATTTTTAACAAATCCTTTTGATTTTGAAAATACTAATTTTGATCTTGTGTATATGTAAATATAATAAACAAACACACACATATGTATATGTATATATATTATATATATATATATATATATATATATATATATATATATATATATATATATATATATACACATATACATACACATACATACATATGTGTACATATACATGCACACATATGTACACGCACAGTGAATACTACCTTTTGTTTAATTCTTCCCAAAACATTAGTAAGAAAAAAGACCCGAAAAGAGAGAAAGGAAAAGAGAGAGAAAGAAATACTGACGCCCTTCCATCGGCTCCCAGCTAAGAGCACGGAGTCGATTGTAAAAACTTTTTAGTTTATTCCCCTTCTAAACCTTCTCCTGCTTGTGCATCCCGGGGCCCGTGCCTCCCCTCGGACAGCGCTTCCCCCGCCCCCCTTCCCCTCGCTCCCCCTCGGAGGGCCCGCCGCCCCTCCCCACCCGCGCCAAGACTAAAGACCTGCTAACACCCCAGCTGCGGCACCCTCTGGCCCTCCGCTCCTGCTGGTGCCACGCGAACGTCCAGTTGGATGTGGCACCCGGGAAGGGCCGACAGGGGGGGGAGGGGGAGGGGCGACGGGGGAGGAGGAGGAAGGGGAGGGCGACGGGGAGGGAGGAGGGAGGAAGGGGAGGGGGGGGGGGGAGGGGCGACGGGAGGGAGGAGGGAGGAAGGGGGAGGGGAGGGGGGAAAGGAAAGAGGGAGGGAGGAAGAAAAGGGAGGTGGAGGGGAGAAGAAAGGGAGGTAGAGGTGAAAGAGGAGGAAGTGAGTGAGAGTGGGAATGAGAGGCAATAAGAAGAGAAGGGAAAATGGGAAATAGGGAGGAATGAAGGAAGGGAGCAGGAGGAGGAGGAGGAGTACGGTGGCGGAAAAAATAGCTTTGAAGTCTGACTTTAGGGCTGATAGGGAGGAAAGAGGTAAGGAGGGGGGAAGAAGGAGGAGGGGGCAGCGAGAGAGGAAGGGATGATGAAAAGGCGAGGAAGAGAGGGAGTAGGTAGGATGAAGGAGAGTGGGGTGGAGTGAGGGGTGAGAGGTGGAGTTGGAGTGGAGCAAAGGGTGAAGAGAGTGGAGTAAGGGGTGAGGGGGCTGGAGTAAGGGGCAGGAGAGTGCATCTTTGGGAGTACATAAAGCCATGCAGTATCCCACACTTGCGGAGGTGGCTGAGTGACAGGTCCTCCACGCGAGTGAGAATTGCTCGCCCAGTCAAGCAAGAGAGGGGAGGGGCAACAGGAGGAGGAGGAGGAGGAGGAGAGGAGGAGGAGGAGGAGGAGGAGGAGGAGGAGGAGAGGAGGAGAAGGAGAGAGAGAGAGAGAGAAGGCAACGCAAGGGAAGGGATAGAAGGGGATACAATGAGGGGATAGAATGGAAAGGGAGAGAAGGGAACAGAATGGAAGGGTAAAGAATAAGATATAATAATGAGGGATAGTTAGAAAGAAGTAGGATGCCGATCATCGGGATGGGGAGAATGGGAGGTGGATAGGAGGTAGGAAGAAGAGGGTGGGGAGGGATAGTATGGAGGAGAGACAAGTAAAAGAGGGAGAGAAGCAGGACAAGAATAGCTTGGAAGTAATATTATCTTAGCATAAGAATTCGAGGAGAGGGACGTAAGAAAGAAAACGGAAAAAGGAGGGGAAGGGAAAAAAAATAGGGAGAAGAGGGAGGGGGAACCAGAAGAGAAACAGCGGCGGAACAGAAGCTAAAAAGGAAGGGTCATCAGAAGGGCAGGTCAGGCTCGTGGCGGGGGTCAAGAAGGTCGAGGAGGCTTGGGAGAAGGGCAGGGAAGGGCAGGGGAAGGGCAGGCAGGAAGGGCAGGAGGAAGGGAGGAAAGGGCAGGGGAAGGCAGGGGGAAAGGCAGGAGGAAGGAGGAAAGGAAGGAAAAGGAGGGGGGGGATAAAAGGTCAGTAGACTACAGGCCACACAGGTCGCGCGTGTTGACATGCCGGGTCAACACGAAATGGTAATCATCAATGAAGGAACCACTCCCCCCTCCTATCTCCCCCCTCCTCCTCCTCCTCCCCTCCCCCCTCCTTCCCTCCCAACCCACGCGCCATCTACCTTCCTTACACCATTACCGCCATTAACTCCCAAAGAGGTTTCCCAGGCAACCACATCTACGGAAGCCTTTCTCTTTCCTCCCTCCCCTCCCACCTCCTTCTAAACACCTGCCACTCCTCCGAAAAGGAAATCGGGTTCTAGAATCTTCGTCTGTTATCGATTCCAAGAAGAAGAAGAAGAAAAAAAGGATCTCTATTCCTGTAGGCCTAAAACACAAACAAAATCCATCTCTACTAGAAAAAAAAATCCTAAAAAAACAAACTAAAAACGAAAGAAAGACATGAAAACCTAGTCACTTCATCTAACTTTCCAAAAAAAAAAAAAAAAAAAAAGTTCAACGACCCCCCTACCCTTACCCCCCTCCCCCTCCCCGGCCATATCATCCACCAATAGATTCCCCGAAAAACCTCCGCGTGGTTATTTTATCCATTATTCATACATTTCTTGATGGCCGCTCCCGTCCCAAATCGCACACGCGCCTATGGATCGAAGGGATTTATCAAATTAAATCCCACTCAAATGTTTTATTCATACGTGCAGCAAACAAACTGGCTGGAAAATAGTTACAGTCACACGAAATATTCTTGTCCATATTCATCATGTATATGCAAATTCGCAACTATTTCATATATTTTTCTTTTTTTTTCATATATGTACGTTTGTATATACACACGTAGCTTAGATTCATGTGTGTGTACTGTATACCTACATCTAAAGGTAAGTCTATATTCATATTCATATCCATATTCATATTTGTATTTATATTTATATTCATATTCCTACTTGCATTCAAATTCATACATTTAATCTTTATCCAGTAAACAAACATTAACATATAACCCACGCAAAATCATATTTATTAATGTGTACACTGCGGTCTGTATATTTTCGCCGGAAACACACAGAGCAATATGGATATTATTTTTAAAAAATCTAGGATCCTCATATCTACACACATGCATAAACGCGTAAACAAAAACACAGGGAGTCACTATTAATTAAATTTAAATCGTTGTCAAATACATACATATATATTAATTAGCGGGCGCGTCAGTATGGCTAAAGTTACAGCATAGTAAATTATATTATAACCATTTGTCAGAGGCGGGGATGGCGGGGTGGGAGGAGGGAATGTGACGGGGCGGCCGCCTAACAATCTCACCAGCGCACTAACCATGGGCAGGGCGGCCCACCTCCGGCCCATACACGATCTGCGCCCCCGGCTCGTGAGGGAGAGTGCCAGGCCCGTCGAACGGCTGCCTAATTGGCGCAATGACTGCTCATGTGACCGGACACAGCAGGTGACCAGATTAATAAATTCGCCTCATGGAATTAAATGCGATAAACAAAGGCAGAGAGCTATGCAAATTACGGGCATTAATTATTCTTTATTTAGAGTTCACAGATTCTGTCCGCAGCCTTTGCAAAACAGTAAATTGTATTAGCAATTACCGATAGTAACAACTGGGTACACAGAGCAGGAGACAGTGAGCCGATGTGGCAGAGAGCCAAATGGCTTTAAAGTAACGTATTTGTTCTCCAAACATGTATTTGTTTGTATCCCAAGTACTACATGCATGCAAACGGCACCTGCTAAGGTCACTAGTTTGTTTGTCAGACAAGAAATATGTCACAGTCGCGGGAATTTCGCCCCAGGCCTTCAACCATCACCCAAATATACACCATTTCCTGGTGACTACTGTGACAGGGACTGCCGTGACACGCCGCCTAAGGACACGACTTGGAGGAGGCCCAGGTGTGTCAGGGGTGCTACTTGCGTGCACGTCTTCGGGCGTGTGTTAGAGAGCAGCACATCGGCGCTCCCTGCCTCCTCGCGGCTCCGCTCACTTCCCCGCAGCACGGACTCGCCAAGGAGCCGACTCGGGTTGCAGGGAAGGGCAGGGCGCGGGCGGCGGACGCACGACGCCCTCCTCCCACTGACCTATCTCCGTGTAACAGAAGCAACAACAAGGCGTGAGAGAGCGAGCGGAGGCGAGGGAGACAAGTTGGTCAGCTGTGTCGCAGCTGGACCGCGTCTCGCCGCGCCCACACTCCAACCCCACGCCCACAACAACACCAACTTACTTGTGCGTATTCTGAATATCTTAGACTTGTCTGGTTTTCTCTTGGGGTTGATCCTCGCAGGTGACCTCCCGATCACCACCTCGGGCACCACCTGCGCCATCGTCTCCGTCTCTAGCTTGGCTGTGTCCACCTGTTCCACCTTCGCTACCGTGGCCGTCGTCACCTCTCCGCCAGAGCTAGGCATGGTCCGCTCAGGGCACGCCTAAACTCTCGTCGGGGGCGCTGACGGAGTCATCCTGGCCCACGAACTTGGTCGACTGCCTCGAGTTAAGACAATATTTGGCACAACACAAGTCACTAGCAGCGCGAGGGCGCCACGGCCGCCGCTCGACGCAGGGAGGCTCGGCACCGACTTCGGTGCTGTCAAGTTTATCAAGGGAATGCGGCGAAGACTAAGTACAAGTAGCGCGGCGCTCTAGCGGCAACACCTCACTCGTTCAGCCACACACCAACACAAACGTCACCAGGTAGGTATTTGCACTATTTGTCTGGCATCACTCGCTTATCACGGTTGTCACTGACGTGTAATTATAAGTGTCCGTTGTCCATGAACGTTGACAGTGCGAGCGCTCGAGAGTGCACGTCGCGGCACTGAGCGACACTGGTGATGATGCGACCGTGTTGAGGAGCAGGACCACCGTACTCAGCCGGGGTTCCCACAGCTCTGACCGCCCCCGGCCCCG